CATTTAATGTTATTCCAACAAAAAAAGAGAAAGGAAAAAGAATTGTCATGTTAATTTTTTTTATCAAAATATAATAATATAATAAAATATAATAATATAATATAATATATAAAAAAATTCACCAAGCCCTTTTATTTTTCAGCCAGTCAGTTCCCACTGTATAAAATCATGTTCTGCCATACCTTTTTTTTTACATTTTACATTTAATTTGTTAAATATAACATGTAAAAAAAAATTATTTCATGTTATTTTTGTTATTTCATGCATCATTTAATGTGTCCTTTCAATTTTAGTGCAGAATTAACTCAAATCATATAAACATAATCTGCATTATCATCACATCCTGTTCTTTGAACTAATTCTTCGATCTCACCCTATTTCTGTTTACTGTATTAATGTAAATCCAGAGTCCGACTTTCCCTTGGGAACCATTTCCATCAGATGTATGAGAAGAACAGCAATGAAGGTTCTCCAGAAGGATGTGGCTTCTAATTGTGTGTCTTTGTCCCCGTAGGTGTGAGTGCCATGGCCATGCAGACAGCTGTGACACTAGTGTGAGTCCGTACCGCTGCGCCTGCCTCCCAGAGAGCCACACACATGGAGCTAATGTGAGTCCCGCAGGGGAGGCCCCCTTTTAATTAACCACTTCCCTTTAATGACGTGCAAGAGTCCTCTTTAATGAACAGCACACTCAAAAATAGGCTTTAATGGAATGACAGAGAAAAAAAAAGCAGTAAGAGAGGAGGAAGAGGAAAACAAGAGACAGAAAGATCATTCTCCAGTTTCCTGATGAAAAGAGCTAGAAGTAGTGGAAAAAAGAAAAGGGAAGAAGAGAAGGAAGTGGTTTTGTGGGCAGCAATCCTCTAATCGTCTTGTCCCATCAGCCCCTGGGTGTCTTGATGATGAGTCCAGCAAAGGTAATTATATCTCAAGGAAAGCTCTGATGACATAAGGCTCCAGTACTCACACTTTTCAGAAATGCCAATGTTGGGAAGCTACTTTAAAACTGTAGTTTGCCAAGCTACTCATAATTTAAAGGGGTCATCGGATGCAAAATTCACTTTTCAAGTTGTTTGAACATAAATGTATGTTGGAAGTGTGTGTACACATCCATCCTATAATTATAAGAATCCATCCAGTGTTTTTTTTTAATCCCTATTTTAAAATCCCCTTTCTCAAACCAGGCTGTTCTGAGATTCCTGTCAGAATGACGTAGTTCTGTACAGGCCCCTGCCACGATAGTTGATTTTGACTGACAGTAGTTTTTCAGCACAGACTGGACTGGTGTCTTACCTTAGACCCACCCTGAGTGAGCTGTCATCGGTCTGCCATTGTGTTGACTCTGGTGCAGGGGAAGACAAGTTGTCTCCGATTAAGCGATTGAGGTGCTTTATTGTTGGATGTAATAATGAATATAGCAATCGTCATTTACTCCCGACATCTGAGCTGCTGAAGACGCAGAGGATTAACGTTACTTTCGCTTTGAAGTGAATGCGCCACTCCCGATCAGCCTAAATGCATATATGTTCGCTTGAATCATTTGTGATCCAGCCTCATCTACAGAAGAAGTGAGTGTAAGGGTTTTTTATGAATCTTTGCAAATCACCTTTCCTAATAATGCGCTAATTAGCAAGTTTCACGATGAATGCGGCTAAAAGTAAACAGTCTCTCTGAGAGCAGCTCGGAAGAGAAGTGCGGGGCCAGCAGAGCTCATTAACATTTAAAGCAACATGGATTGAGAGGGTAAAAAAGGTGTTTTTTACACTAACAATGAGAAATTTTAACCAAAGTATGTTATAGACTTTTAATTAAGACCCTAAAGAATCATATCAACTGATCAACATATCAAAATGAGCATCCAAAGACCCCTTTAAGAGATAAAAAAAATAAGAGCTAAAGTGCCACAAAGGGCTTTATATATATATATATATATATATATACATGGCCCTGGACCACAAAACCAGTCTTAAGTCGCTTGGGTATATTTGTAGCAATAGCCAAAAATACATTGTATGGGGCAACATTATTGATTTTTCTTTGTATACAGTAAAGATCATGTTCCATGAAAGTTTTTTGTAGATTTCCTACTGTAAAAACTTTTTGTTTAGTATGCAGTATTTAATACAATTACATCAGAAGTAACAGTAATTAAATTACAGAAAAATTAAGAGCAATCCCTTACTTTACTTTTTCAAGGGAAATGTAATTAAATTACAGTAATTAATTACTTTGTAATGCATTACACCCAACACTGCGTGTGAGGTATGTCTTATTATGGATGCATGCGCTTTATTTGACTTCTTCTGGACTGTTGAACAAAAACACCCATCTACTCCCATTCCAACGCTTGGAAGAGCAAGGATATATATATATATACACTAACGGTCAAAAGTTTGGGATCAGTAAGAGTTGTAATGTTTTTTAAAGATGTCTCTTCTGCTCATCAAGGCCGCATTTATTTGATCAAAAATACAGAAAAAAAACATATATATATATATATATACATACATACATACATACATACTGTGTATAAATTTTCATTAACCAGAGAGCAACTGATTCGCTGATTTTCTGGTGCTAAATATTAGAGAAAGGTTCAGTGAGTCCAAACTGATTTACTGTAATGAATCAGACCTTCTCACGCTACATACATGAGGGAGAATAAAGTTTATAGTGATTCAGTTCACTAGATTTGAGTTTTCAATGCTGCATTTGAAAGAAGGGTCCATTTTTGGGGTGAACTGATTCAATCGAATTAATCAGACTTTACGACACAACATTTTAGAGAATTTTTGGGTAAACCAGTTCACTAGAATGAATCAGATTTCTAGAGAGAGGGCCTTTTTAGGCAAACAGATTCATTAAAATGAGTCAGACATTACTGTGATATGATAAACAGGACCATTTAGACAAACTAATTCAATAGACGGGTCCATTTAGAATGAACTGAATTACTAGATCGAATCAGACCTTCTGACACTACATTTGAAAAAAAGACCATTTAGGAGAGAGCATTTGATTTATAACTTTAGCAAAGCATATGACATTAAAATCAAATTTGTAACATTTGATTGCTTTAGACAGGCCTTTGTTGGCAAAACAAGCCACATTGTTTGACAGCAGTAACTGTCACGCTACTGAAAAACGCAGTTGGGTTTAAACTTCTTGTATTTGAAGAACTGCTTTTGGCAAAATAAAAGCCAGTAGTCTTTTCAGTATTCTCCATCTTCTCTGGAATCTCTCACTGTCCAGATCGCTGCATAGAATTCTGAACATTGGGAGCAAGTCCCAGGATTAAACTTTTAAACCTGATGTCTGGTGATTTAAATTATTCACCAGATGTCATGCATTATTCAGGGCCAGACACGACACACTCTCTCTACTGCTGCTACTGTTGTTGTTTTCACCGAAACAAACAAGGGCCACATCTAACACGTACATGCTGAAAAGTGTGTGTGTGTAAATATGATAAATATGAGTTGTCTCACTGCCCTAAACGCCCCTAGACCCAAACACCTGGCTTCGAGGAGGGACTGCCGCCTGCCCCGGAGCTATCTGCTGTGTTTGCTTACTAGCTCTGAGACACAGATCTAGGCTGGCCCTACTAATGTTTGCTTCCTCGTAATATTCCAGCCAGAGCCTGTGAAAGTGCTGCTGGTGTCTCTTTTCTCATCTTCAGTGCACATTGACTAAACTGATTATCACTGAGTGGGGAAGGCAGTGTTGGAGGTCACATGTATGTGATGTGGGACATTCATATCATTCACGTTCCACAGAGAACATTTCGAAGTGTCCTGTTAATGCCTCAGCCACATTCCACATCATTCAACCCTCAGAAGCCATTCAGAGAATGTCTATTAACAAATCTTCATCTTCTGTCTCTGTGTAAGAGTGTCTTCTAGACCACTGAGGTCAGATCCTAATTACCAGCATGGAGAGGAGTGTAGCTGGGTAAAAGTGGTGACAATACTAACTGATTAATTGCTTAGATTCTCTTCTAAAAACTTCACTCTTCATATGTAGCATTCATTTTAATAAATAACTTTGTCTGGACGGTTAATGGCCACCTTTTGTGAACCATTTGATTTACCTGAACCACCTGAATGAAACGATATGTGTGATTTTAGAATGATTAGAATGATTCACTGATTATTTGAGACTCTGTGAGATATTTTATGTCTGTTTTTGTCGTTCATTGCTGTTTTTGGGACTTTACTATAGAATTTAGTGTGTATTCTAGTTTAATTAGCTGTATTTAGTGTATACATCTGTTGAATATATATATATATATATATATATATATATATCTGCTGTCACCCTAATGTATAATAATATTGATAATATTACTCATAACCATATATATGTATTGTTATAATACTATTTACAATAATAAACAAATATATTTATTAATATTTCTTTTGTTTAATAGCTTCTAATTTAGTTAACTGGTGTATCAGCAGCAATTGTGGAAGGGAATATTCTCAGCAAAATTTAACTCAGTCACACTAAATATCAGACATATTCATAGTCATATCAGCATTATGAAATATTAGTGTCCTTTCCACTATAATTACTGATTTAAAGTTGTGTAATCAGCCTTAGTGCAATCCCTTCTTTTTTTTCTAGAGCGACTATAAATGACGGGGAATGCCATTTTGGCAATGTATTGCTAAAACCTTGTGTTTTCAAACAGGCTAAAGGTTAACTGTAGGCTCGCAACTGGTGCAGCCACGCGCAGACCTTTCCTGAGGGAGCGTGAAATTAGCCATGGCATTCACAGGCCTTTCACACGGGATGAAGGCTCTTTTCCCACTGGAGCCCAGCTCCTCTCCTCACACACTGGAGACAAATACAAAACACACAATACCTGTATGTGCTGATCTCTGTCCTGCAGTTTTAGTTTTATGTATTTAAATGAGTCTACTTATTTGCATTTTCCATATTAATCAACTTTGGAACACATACATTATTTGGAACTGGTTCTGTATTTTTTAACATCTACATTCCTGACAGGTGCTTTCACACTATTTGGTTGAATAAAATGGCTTTTGTTTAAAGCAATAGTTTACCCAAAAATGAAAATTAGCTGAAAATGTACCCACCCTCAGGCCATCCAAGATGGAGTTAAGTTTGTTTGGAACAGGTTTGGAGAAATCTAGCATTGCATCACTTGCTCAATGGATCCTCTGCAGTGAATGGGTGCCATCAGAATGAAAAAAATCACAATAATCCACAAGTAATCCACACAACTCCAGTCCATCAGTTAACATCTTGTGAAGAGAAAAGCTGTTGTTTTTGTAATAAACAAGTCCATCAGACATTTTTAATTTCTTAATGTAAGTTTGTTTCAATTTTCTTTTGAAAAATTCTAAACCATATTGTAGACTTTTTAATGATTAATTATGTAGTTTATTTCTCGCTAAAAACAAGATTCAGTCTCCCTTCACTCTTAATCCCTATTCATATCTGGGATGTGTTTTTATAGGCTAATTTATGCTTTAGTTTTGCAAAACTGTTGCACTTATAGTTGCTCTCTCTGAAACTACATTCTGCAAAGTGTAAAAATCCAAATCCCTGTGGCATGTTGTCAGACCCCTGATTGTCATAGAGGGCTGTAGTGGCGGGTGGTCTGTGTCTGGCTCTTCCAGCATCCAGCCTGCTCAATTTGCAATTCCCTCCAGGCTCACGACCCACTACGGCTACCCAAACAGCAGTCTGACACAGCGAGCCTATGCCACAGCTTGAGCAGTCGCTGGGGAATCCTTTGCTTAATCATTGCATTTGGTGCCTCCCATTTTCTCAGTAATTTGTAATGACCATTCACAAAAATTAAATACTTTACCAGTAAAGGCTCAAAAAACTAATTTTTCTCCTGTTGCCTCTTCGTCTCTCACTTTCGATTATGAGATGTTCGTTCGTTGAAAGTGTCCTATTAAAATAGTTCAGTTGTTGAAAGTCACTCATAATAAATGAGCTGATTTTACTCTGTCTTGTACATATGGAAATATTGTGTTATTTGTGACTGTGGGGACTTTATCATTGATCCTTGAGGTCGCATCTGGATATTGCTGATAGATGTATATGTAGAT